AAAGTTTTCTTCTCTTCTTCTTCGTTCTTCTAGTTGCTCATCAGTCTCACATGTCGATTTGGTTATGGCTCTGAGATATATATAGTTGGAAAAAATTGACAATAAATAAATAAATAAATTAGCAACGTACCGAAGCTAACTATGGCCGGGCTCTGAGCGTGGCCGTTATTATCGTACCAGTGGCTTTCACGTTCACCATTCATTATTATTTTTTAGAAAATTAATTTGCAAATTAATCTATTTATTATACTTTTAAATAATTTTTTTTTATTAATTTTTGGAGTTTAATAATTATAAAATAAGATAGTAATGGGTGTTTTTAATGTATATATTTTAAATTTTAAATTTTAATTTTTTAGTGTGATGGACATTAAATTAATAACTAATGGACTTATTGATGTTAATTTAGTTTTATTGTATTTTAAAATTAAATAAAGTTTAAAAAGGTTAAAACAATTTATTAAAAAATTAAGACTTATCATCCATTTAAAATTTTAAAATTAATTTAGCAAAGACATATTTTTTTTTAAATTAAGGGTAATACTGTACGTTTCATATTCTAGCTTTTTAAATATTTTTTTATGAGTTAAATTAAATTTAAATATTTAATATTATTAGTGGCATGTTTGGTAAATTTAAGATTTAAAATTGACCTAAAAATTAAATTTAATATTATTAGTGGCATGTTTTGTAAATTTAAGCAATACTCTAAAATTATTTTTAAATTTGACTTGTAGACATAGACTGGATAGTTCATTTTTTAGGGTTGGCACCACGTTTCATGATAAAGGTGGATAAAAGTCGGGTTGAATTTCAATAAATTTGTATTTGAATTTTAAAGAGTATTAATGTGATTTCATTATAAAATTACTAGTGCAGTAGTCAGCACTTTGGACTTCGACCTAGGTTCAACTTCTGGTAGAACCTTAGGTGTTTAAGGTTGCTTAATCATAAATATTAAAGGTGTGGTTAGCACTATTATAATATTTAATATATGCTAAATTTTAAAAATAAAATAGAAAGTCACCGACCACGTATTATTATTAAGGAGAAGTTAGGATCTAAAATCACAAAGTTTAGATTGAATTAATATTGAATAGGTAATTACAATTAGATGGTTGAATTAGCGTAATTAAGGAAATGATTTACATGTTTAACACTGAGATTAGATTTATTAGAATTTTAAGGTAACGATTCTTGGCTCAAAGTCAAATGTTGACTGACTCGACCCTTATTTGAGCTTGTCTTTGACACTCTTGTCTACTTGTTACCTCCAATCTCACTCAACCCTACGCTTGACTTTAATGCACGTCCTTCTTCATGTATTGGATGATGCCCCATCTTTCTCGATCCATCATGGCATTTGTCTATCTCAGCTCTCACATGGCTTGACGGAAATCAATCATATCTCATCTTCTATTGTGTCTGCACATGGTGATCACAACCTACATTTTTTTTAGTATGGTTCTGACATTCTCTCCCTCTTAAATTAGACGTCGTCTTCAATGACTTTCTTTGAGACACGATCACATTGCTCTCACCAATTGGTGGCCTAGGTTCAAACTTGTGATAACACTTTTTGTGGGACACAAACTAAGCTTCGACTCTCACTTTTTATGGTCAACCAAACTCAATGATAAGGGCGTGTTCTAGAGTTGTGTTTAATTCATAATATTTTTTTTAACTTAAAAAACATTAATATGATTACATTTTAAGATTATAATCAAGCATTTAGTTCTATAATGTAGTAGGAACCACGAACCTTCACAATGATATGATATTGTCCACTTTTGAGGTTAGCAACTTCTTTGTTCGACACTTAAGGATTGTATTGACACGACTAAGTTAAGGGCATGACTCTAATACCATGTTAGGAAGCACATACCTCTATAACCGTATGATATTGTCTACTTTAAGCATAAGCTCTCATGACTTTACTTTTGATTTTCCCACAAGGCTTCCTACTATTGGAGATACGGTTTATTTCCTTACTTATAAATCCATGATCGTATCCTTAATTAGCCAATGTGAGACTCCTTATCCTCAACAAAGTGTAGTGGTTAGCACTCTAGATTATCCTTAATTAGCCAAGCTGACTGACTCAGTCCATTATTTGTTCCCTAAATTCGATATAGATCATCATTTTGAAGATGAGTCAACTTGTTTGGGCCATATTAAATCGACTTAATCTAAGCTCAGACAGTACCTTGAGTCCATTGGCTAACGAACGATAATGGTAAGGACGGGTTTTAGAGTTGGGTTCAATTTTCAATAAATTTGTTGTTGAATTTTTTAAAAAGGTCATTAAGATAGTTTCATTATAAGACTAAAAATAAAATGTGGTTTTATGGTGTAGTGGTCGACCCTGGTAGACTTTGAATCCAAAAGTTCTATTTGTGTTTTAGGGTTGTGTTCGATTTTGAATAAATTTGTTTTGGATGCGTAGTACTTCCCTACACACGATCCACACGTGTGAGTGTGAGTCTCCTTGCGGTTCGCACTCTCTCGACCCATCATAGTCGGGCTACTTGTTCATAGTTGGACGTCTAGAGGATAACAAAACCCCAAGTATAATGTGAGGCATGATGATGATGATCATCATAGTGTACGTCTCCGTTCTCATCATCATAAATGGGAAAGTAACCCAATGTATGTGAACACACAATATGCAAGAGATCCCTATAGTTTTCATCTTTGAATCATTGTGACACAACCCTATACATTATTCACACATTACCCTAGGTGACATGCATTTATTGACTTTCATACGTTCATCATCATTAACATCATCATGGTAAATACATGCACATCATCTTAATATGGAATATCATCATATTAAGTCATTTTGTCATCATGTTATCATGCATCATCATTATCATATAATCATCATGTACATCATCATATAACGTCATCACATCATATATGTGAATATTTTTTTTTAAATAGCTACTAATCATGACATAATTTCTTAAGAACTAATATAAAATTCTTGACGTTTAATTTCTAACTCAAAGCTAAATAATTGCAGGGTAGATCTTATTATAACTTATTGTGTTCTAGAAACGAAATTATAATAAAAGAAAAAGAAGATTTGAGATATAAGTTGATAAAAGAAAATGAAGATCCAAGATATAACTTATACTAACAAATTGAGACAACTATGTTCAGATCTATCTTGATATGAACCAAGAGACATCAATCATACAATATGCTTCAATGAATATGTGAAGAAAATATCGTTGAAATTATCAAAAGATATTTCAATTCATGCCACGTTGAAAAAGAATGAAGTTTCATGACATAAATTTTGGGTGGATTACAATTTAGAGTAATTTAGAGTGATTGTATTTCATTAATGTATTTTAAGACTTTTTATTTACTCTAGGTTACAATTACATAATGGTTAATTATGGGTATGAATGTTACCACTCTTGGAATGTCTCTAATAGTTTCATTTTGAGGCTATATAAAGACATGTATGTTGTATTTGTAAGAAGACTTGGAAAATATAGTAAAAGAAGCATTTGTGCTCTTCTTTAACTAATGGCTAAGTTTCTTTGCAATTCTATGTAGTTTAGGTTGCATGTACAATCATTTAAGCTCGACATGATCAATCTTGCTTGTGGAGTGATTCGAATCTCAATCAAGTGTTCTTGCCTTGAGATATTTGATCAACAAGAATCATTCAAGCTAAACATGATCGATCTTGCTTGTGGAGTGATTCAAACCTCAAACAATATTCTTGCCTTGACATATTCGATCAACAAACAAGGTAATCCGAATCTTATTCTCCTTGTAGTGATTTCCACATATCATATCTACACGTATAAATCTGAGTAAAAGTCATTTTTTGTTTTTGTCTATCGAGGTAAGTACGCTATATTTGTTTTTTTGGTTATTCTGAGAGAGATTGTCTTTTTTGGGTATTCTCAATCAAAAGCCTTTGATTCAAAATACTCAATTATAAAGGTTCAAGTGGTTACCTCCACCATTTTTTTTTTGGTTGGGATACTCAATCATATACGTTCAAGTGTCATACACGTTCAAGTGGTGTGCACTCGACTTTAATTCGAACCGTTACTCAATGATAAAGCTGTGTGGTACTCGACTTGTATTTGGAATGATATTCAAATGTTAATTTCTTTTTTTCCTTCACTTTTTTATTTTTAAAAATTAAGTTTTCTTTTTTCATAATTTAATTTATTTTGAAATTTATATTTTCTTTTCTTATCCTATACATTTGCATTCGTAAACAAAATTTAAAGAGTAAAAATAAATTTTAAAATTTGTTCTTCTTAATTTTTCTTAAACACATAGGAAAAAATAATAATTATAGAACAAAGAAAAGCCCAATATTTATAAATTTAATTTTTAATTAAACAAATATTTAGTTATAGTTTGCCCTATTTATTCCAGATATATATTATCGATCAAAATATTGTAACTTTAGATCTCATATTTGCCGGTAAGGTAAGAACTCATTCCATATGCAAAAAAATTGATCGATATTAATGTAAATTAATAAGAACATATTTCAAGATACCAAGATGCTAAAATAAGAATGTTTATCTAATAACAGCCTTCCAATGAAAATAGAGAGGAAATTTGTTGTTATGCCAAAAAAGGGAGAAGATGAAGAACAAACAGAAAAAGGAGGGAAAATTAGGGATTTTGAAGATTATAGAAAAAGATGGATAAAAAAAAAAAAAATCCCAAAAACAAAACCCATCTAAATTAAGCACTTCCCCCTAAAAAAATCCATCGTCTTCCTCGTATTCCCCCATTTTTTGTTGCTTCAGATTATCCCCCCTTTCATTCAACTGCTCAAATTGGAATCCATTAAGATCCCTTTCTTCCCCTGTTCTTCCCCTGTTCCATCAACCAAATCCTTCTGGGTTAGACCCTTCTTCAAGTCAACATCACGCCATCGCATAACCTTTAAAGGCGACGACGAAAACGAATAAAGGAACCAAAAAGGGATTCTGTATTGGAATTTTCTATGCTTGGAATTCGTGTTTAATCAGCCTATGACACGAACGAAAAAGCACCCAATACAAACACGTACCGTAGCGATCAGGCAAGCGTCGAAGCATAACTCCCCCACTGATTTCTTGCGTTCCCAAATGCTTTTCTGTTACAAAATCAAAGTAAGCTCCCACTGATTTCGCCTGATTCTTCTGAATCTGAAATGGGTGTTCGGCGGATTTTTCGATGTATTCATTCATTCTTTTGTTTACACAGATGGAGGATGATGAAGACGACGACCTATGATATCTTCTGGTGATTCAGTTCATCAAGTTCATATTAAATCAAGCGTTCTTCATATTCAATGATGGAGGAGAAGACGGATTTGGTGAAGCCTGTGTTGTTCAAATTTGGTGTTGTTCTGGCTATCTCTTTTGCTAGTTTTATGTATTCCCGCTTTAGAATCAGGAACAAAAGACCTTCTCTGGCTCCTCCCTCCTCCAGTTCTTCAGGTTCTTCCATTCAATCTCTTATGCTTCATCAATATGTTCTTGAATCATGTATTTCACTTGCTTTTAGCAGATGAATGGCGTAATAATAAAGTTGAGTTGGGAAGAGGAAGAGGCCATAAACTTGATGATCAAACGATGAAGGTAGCTACAGCAGCATCCTCTAATGCTATTATTCTTGCAGCTGATGCCTATGTGAGTTTGCTGAATTTTGGTAATATGAACAACTTAGAATGTTCAAGAAGTTCAGAAACCAAATTTTGTGTTATGAACCCGAAACCCATTGACATAGGCGATGATTTGTTTTCAGCATGTTGGTCTGTGATTATAGACTTAGCTGGCTTCATGTTATGTGTTTGATATCTTTCTCAGGAAGAAATGTGTATTCAGAAAGCCAATGGTGATGATTCAAGTGCTGGTTTCTCCACTGGAAATGATCACATTGTAGATGAAGAAGGGTTGCTTCTCCCAGAGTTCCAGGAACTTGTCAAGCAATTTGATCTTTCTGCAGCAAATGCTGGGTTTTCTCCTAAGAAAAATGCTGGAGCACTGAGGTTGGGGATCGAAACTCCGAAAGCTTATAAAAGGGTCGAGTCGGATGGATATGAACATGAGATCAAACACCTGAAAAGCAAGGTGAAAATGCTTCGAGAAAGGGAGAGAAATCTTGAGGTTCAGCTACTTGAATATTATGGTCTGAAAGAGCAAGAAACTGCTGTCATGGAGCTCCAAAATAGACTGAAGATTAACAACATGGAGGCTAAACTTTTCACTCTGAAGATTGAGTCCCTTCAGGCGGATAATCGACGATTAGAATCACAAGTTTCCGACCAAGCAAAATCAGCATCCGACCTCGAGGCTGCAAGAACAACAATTAAGTTTCTCAAGAAAAAACTTAGACATGAAGCAGAACAGAACAGGGAACAGATCGTAAATCTTCAGCAAAGAGTTACTAAGCTGCTTGACCAAGAATGTAAGATAAATGAAAGCACTAAAAATGACCAAATCAAGCTGCAAAATATTGAAGATTTGGAGAAAGAGATCGAGGAGCTAAAGAAGGCGAATTCGAGATTGCAAAAAGAAAATTCTGATCTCGGTCGGAGACTAGATGCTACTCAGTTTCTTGCAAATTCTATCTTGGAAGACCAAGAAGTATGTTCTTATTGCTACTATAGCTATTTTACCATTATACAATTGTATGGTGACGAAAAATTTAATGCAATGCCCATCTAATTCATGCAGAAAGAATCACTTAAAGAAGAAAGGGACCGTTTCGCACAAGAAAACGAGACGTTGACGAAGGAAATCGAGCAGCTTCAAGCTCACCGTTGTGCAGATGTTGAAGAGCTAGTCTATCTCCGTTGGATTAATGCTTGCTTAAGATATGAACTGCGGAATTTTCAGCCTGCAGCAGGGAAAACAGCAGCAAGAGACCTAAGCAAAACATTAAGTCCCAAATCCGAGCATAAAGCGAAGAAGCTCATACTCGAATACGCAAATACAGAAGGAATTGAAGGGAAGAGCATTAACCTTACGGATTTTGATTCAGATCAGTGGTCATCCTCGCAAGCTTCCTCTCATACCGATCCTGGAGATTTGGATTATTCAGCTGTTGATTCTCGGTTAACAGCCAAACCAAGTTCAAACAAAATCAAATTCATGAGTAAACTCAGGAGTCTCTTGAGGGGAAAAAGTAATCAACAGAGCTCGGCTTTGTTACCAGAAAAATCTGCAGCAGCTGTAGGAGATGTTGATTCTCCACGTTACAGTTCAAGTCATTCTACTGGGACCAACGCTACTCGAGCCGATGGACATGGTACTGGATATACAACTCCATCTCAGAATTCATCAAGACGTTCAATGGATTTTCACAGGTTGAATAGCCAAAAGGAAGACGACGTAAAAACTGAGGATTCCCTTAGAAGGAACAGTGATGTTGGCTACATTAACAAGAGATTTGTTTCAGGCAGTGACCGATCGAGCAATTCGTTGTATAGATCTTCAAGTCAGGAAACAGAATCAACTGACAAGTCTGAGAAGTCCGAGTTGTTGAAATATGCTGAAGTGTTGAAAAACAGCAGGGGAGATAAGAACCAATCTCGCCGGAAGGTTGCACCCATGTGTTCAATTTAAACATCGGAAAGCTTGTCTAGCTTTCAATGGAGTCATCACCTGTTCCTACACAGTATTTTCTTGAGGGGCTCAGTAGTTAGTGCTAATATACCATACTGTTCATAAAACCTGCTAATGTAATACAATACTGTTCATGTGGAAACTTTGTAACATAAATAACTGAATGTTGTGATGTTACTTGTATGAGATCAAACCTAACAAAATTAATCTTATCAAGCCATTGTGACTGATAATATGTCATTATGGATTTCCTGTTCAATGAATCTCAAGGAATACTTAATTCTATCAGCCCTTGTTCTTGCATCAAGTTGATCCAATGTTTTGGTACTGAATACAATCAAATCTTTATCAGCTGTCCCATGATTACTACACAATAACTAGTACAAATGGAGATAATCCAGAAACATTTGGAAAAACAGTGAAACTAAAACAGTTCATACGGTGATGGTCAGATGAGAGCATAGCCTTGGACAAGCATAGCATCAGCAAGTATCTGGTTGGCAGCCTGAGATGGATGAACACTGTCCCAGAACATATATTTGGTCGCATTAGAACATGTTACATGAGATTTTGGATTGCACAAAACCGAGGCCGTCTCCACCGCCCCAGTGCCACAGCAGCCTCTTCTCACTTCATCAAATCCTTGAACGAAAAACAAAAAACACAGCATCATTACTTTGAATTAGCACCCGAATGTTTGAAAATTATTCTAATGTCCGTGAAGTACCATAGCTCGACGGAGACATAATAGCATTGTACAAAGGATTGAAAACGTCAAAGACTACGAGTTTGAGATCAGGAAGCTGCTTGCGAAGAGTTGCAGCAGTAGAATTGAGCTTCCTATTGAAAACTAGGACATGATTGTTGATTGTTCTGACACAACCCTTTTGTTGTTGGTAACCAAACAGAGTGAGTACAGCAGGAAAACAACCTAATGGAGGCATTGAGGTGACCCCAATTTTCCTTGCTCCTAGCCCATGTAAATCCTTCACCAAAGCCACAAATCCTCCATCCAATGTTATTAGGAACACTTAGAGATGCATAAACACTTCGATATTCATGACTTTTATAAAGCTAATCTGCTTAAAAAAAACAAGTAAAATGGACCAAAATAGAAACAATATTTGCTTAAACCATCCTTCTGACTTCAAAATTTACAGCAGACGTCAGGAATAGAGTAACAACAAAACCACACAACATCAAACAATATCATAGGCTGGCTGGCATGTGGACATGAATTCATCATCAAATAGGACTATACAGTTCAAAAAACCAGAGAGTTCCATACTTGTCTGGAGAGCTGTCAATTTCTGTTAAGTCATAAATGAAATGAACTATCAAAGGGAGGGGGAAAATGTGACTCCAAAAAGATTCTTCTTCCATGCTTTTAATGAGGTGAAATATATTATTATAATAAAGTTTTTATCATAAAGTATCCTATAGAATAAAATTTTTAAGATATGCTTAAACATGTTTCAAAATCATTACTTACTTTCTGTACTGTATCATATCACTATTCTATGGTTGAATATGAACAGTGTTATTTAGCTGGATCTTCATTCAAAATTAATGATCAATTAAATCTCTTTATTTTTTTAACGTTCTTTAGGTAGCTGTTTTCATTTTCTCCCTATCCAACCAATCAGACAGGAAAATCAATGTAAATTTATGAGCTGAGCTCAAAGAAGAAAAACAATAATAAATACTTGGCGGGCAGCCTTAGCCATGAATTTCCTGCTGCCCCAAACGTGGTCCTATGAGTAATGAATGCTTATTACTATCTTATTCTTTCCTCATAGAGAATTTTAACCATTTCTCGAACAATTCAAAAGTAAGGCTTAAGTTGGATTAGACCGTTTTAGATTTAGGTTCCGGATAAATTTTTAAAAAATCGAAAATTCTATTGGAACATTTTTAGCCAAGAACCTGAAAAGAGGGCACACAACTAAACCCAAGGCTATCCTACTTTTAAGATTGTTATGAACTTGACTCGTGAATGATTGATATTTGAGTCTTATGAGATTTTAGTTATTAATAAACCACACTCAACCCATAAATAGAGAGTTGGATTAGAAACCCAAGTGAACCGATCATCAACCTAACCAATTCAAAATTCCGATAAAAAAGTTTCCCAGCTCAACTTGTATACTACTTCTCCGTTCTCTTTTTACGCTACACAAGTGCCATAATGGCAAATTGTATAAAAATATTACGAGTGCTATCGTAGTACCTATTTTTTTAATTCGTAATTTGACACATCATCAAATGGCATATTAATTCATTTCATGGTTCTATAGTTTATTCTTGAATGTTGCTACAAGGTCAAACAATGAATAAATGTAGTCTAAAAAGTTTCCATTCTAGAATTATACCATGTTCCTCAGAAAGTTTAATACATAATGAACATCTATTTTCTTACTAAGGGTATCATATTCTTTATTCATACTTGTTAGTTAACATTATATTAAAAAAAATGTATTTAAATAGACATTTAAACTTCAGATATTTTGTACCTTGATGAATTTGGAGAAGGAAGCAACAAGGAAGGAGGAGTACTGATCGGGAGTGAACCGTCTACGAACCGCCGGATTTGTGTAATAATTCTGGAGATAGTCGCTGGTACCGCAGCTCAGTATGTGCAATCCATCTTTAACAATGGCGGCCGCTTTCTCACGGCCGGCCACCATAGCCACCTTGCTTTGGTACTCTTTGTAATTAGACAACTGCTGAGCCAAAGTAATCGCACGCTAAAGAACACAAGAAAGTAAAAGGAAATCAAAATCGCATTGATTAGATCCTGTTTTCAACGATTCAGAAACATTAGGGTTCCAAATAAAGACAAGAAGATACATTGGAAATTGAAGCTTGCTCATCGTAGCCGGCGGCGGCGGAGGCGAAGCAGGCTCCGATTAGAAGATTCCGGCCGGAAGCCTCTGGGCTGAGATACGCCGGTGGGTGGCTCTCAAAACCGAGGTTTTCGGCTGTGGGAAATTAATTAGAAATGTTACCGTTTCACATTTTTTAATAATTAAGAAAAAAAAAATATTTTTTCCTTCTATTTTCTTAGAATAAATAATTTTAGTAAAAATAAATAAAAATGGAGATTGAAATATATGGTAGATACGAGGACGAATACTAATGTTCGGTCCAACGTCCCAAACGATTCATATCGAAGAAATTATTTTAAAATTTAAAAATAATATGATTAGTAACTTTATAAGAAATTATTTTTTAAATTTATTAGGAACAAATATTGTCCGAAAGCTTTTAAAGCCCTCAAACAGTCTTTTCATATTCGAGATTCAACGTGATTTCCGCGGACATGGAACTCTTCCTGATAATCTTCTGCAAATATCTAGTTATAATTATTAAATTTAACCAAATTTAAGCCTTTTCTCCGGTTCCCCGGACACAATTTGATTTTGGACTCGTAAAAACGTAAATATAACCTTAAAATTTAAAATATAAGTCAATGATTTTGAGTTTTTTTTTTTATTTGATGAAAATAATAATCTTCATATGGTAATAATAATAATCATAAAAGAAAATAAGTTGTAATAAATTATTAAAAGAAAAAGAAATATTAGGAAACAGGGCGTACCAGTTATATCAGAAACGAGTTTTCCATTACAAAACCTGCCGGTGGCTTTATGGTTCATGAAGTCCCGACCATAAGGATGGTAGTTGGCCTTGAACAGGGTGAACCGGTTGTTGTTGTTACCCACATCCAAGGCGGAGTCGCCGAAAGTCAGTATCGCCGGGAATATCGTGGCGGCGGCGGTGGGTTCTTGAGCCGCTTCGGAGCTGGGCAAGGCTAAAAATATTGCACAAACAAACCACATAAACGCACCCATCTTCTTCTCCGTTGTTGCTGCATGTGCTTGGGGAATCCTATTTATTTCAGCTTTACACTCCCAACTCACGTATATAAATAAAAACTTTCAAAATGGTTAAATTACAAACTTGCCCTTACCCTATATCTTTCAATTTTAATGTCGTTGCAATAGGTTTACTGACTCTCAATTTCATGTTTACTATGCTGGACCATGAAAGTTCCACGTCTACTAATTTAGGGAATGATCACAAGTTTATAAACAAAAAATACTCTCTCCATTCGTGTGAGGCCAGAGTTTATGCTCAAGGTGGACAATATTATACCATTGTAGAGAGTCGTATTTGTCTAACATGGTATCAGAGCTTAGTCGTGCCAATAGATTGGTAAATCCTCAACTGTCAAACAAATGACCCACAAAGGCGAATTGACATATACAATTCTTACCAGTTTTGCTAACTAAAAATAAAATGATGATTTTTCTACGCTGCTTTTCTGCAGTTACAGTGAGTTTCAGACTCTCGGTATTAGAATCGGTTACTTTCTAGACTTTTTTTTTAATATAAAAACTAATTAAATATGTATGTTGGAAGTTTGTGATCCAGTTGATGAACCAAATCTATAGTTATTTTATTTATAATTAATTAGTTTATGATTATTTAAGAAGATAATATAATTAAAATTTGAAGCCCACCTCATAAATGTTCAAACAAATAACAATCAACCAACTAAAATACTAAATATACAAACCAACACCAAAATCACCAAACTTAGCTGTAATAAACACTCCGTCAACATAATTAATTAATATGCTTACAAAAAATTCAAATATCATTTTCACCTGGTTTCAATTTTCATCTAAAGTATTTCAATTTTGAGTTTCGAAAAAAATATATATATATATATATATATCCATAAAATTTGTATTTTATCTTTAAAAATATTCCTAAACTAATTAAACTCCTAAATAATAAAAATAGAAAGACTAAAAAATACTTAGTTTCTCAACAAATAAAATTTTAAACTTTCAAATGTTTATTTTATTAATTTTTTTTAAATGTAAAAATACAGTTGTGTGAGTATATGTCATAAATGTTAGTAGCCCTAAAAAAGTTGACGCGTAACTTTAAAAAAAAAACTATTTTGAAAGTTTTTAAAAAAATTTAAATAATATTTTTAAAATAAAGTATTCATAATTTTGAGAGTATTTTTTAAAATTAATTTAACTTCACATATAAATTTCCAAAAAAAAAGAAAAAAAAGAGTTAATTATGTATGGATTATAAACTGATTCCATTGAATGAAACCAACAACTTGTGTCTTCTAATACAAAATATGTGAGAGAATAAATGGTTCTAGTTGTTTCAGATAATATACATTCAACAGCTTCACTCAACCACCCATGTTTATGATATTTATTTATTAGGGCCCTATTTCATAATATTTATTTTATTTTTTTTAAAATATTTAAAATTTTCAATTTAAGCTTTAAAACTAAGATGGTTATTAGATACACCTATCTTCTACAACAAATTTAAATAAAATAAATGAATTTCATTAACCACTCTCATTTAATCAACTAATTCATGTAATAAATGATTAAAAAAAAACCATATTTCGCCATTATCAACTCCACAATTACCCGAGTTATTTTTAGCATATTTTCCATTTTTTTCAATTTTTATATATAATAAAAGAATGAAAAAGATTATATATATTTATATTGTCGAACACAATTGTTCGTGAAAAACACTCTTAACTCTTTACTAATACACTAATCGATAAAAGATTATAAGATCGTTACACAAAGGGAGGTATCTATGACATAAATTAAATAATTTATTTAGAAAATATCTAAATTATTTTTTAAAAATAGTATCATTGGATTTGACCCTATGAAGCCAGAGATGATATTTTAATATATATATATATATATATAATATTGATTATGAAGGGAGTGGCAGAAAAGGTGGGGAAAGTAGGTAGGGGAAAGCTGAGATGGGGTTAATGAGACAGCGATAGTGTCGCTAATTCACGTCATTTTTAGTCACAGTCGAGACATTTTCTGAATACTACGGCATGACGTTAGTAATAATTTTTTTAAATTTCATTTCATAACTATGTGATTTTTTTTTTTTAAATTTTAAATACTCCCCAGAAAAAAAAATTAAAGTAAAAGCATATTTATGATTTTAGAAAATAATAATAAAATGATTTATGATTTTAGAAAATAATAATAAAATGATTATTGAAATGAATTAATCCTCAGATTTAACCAAGAACACGTCTGAACAAGAGTATCAACTTTGTGTTGGGAATAATTCCATTCAAAACAAATTTGTTAATCTTTTCCCTTAAGTCAGCAAGTTGAGGTTTTTTTTTTTTTTTTTTTTTTAAATAATTTTTTTTTTAGGTTAGCAAGTTGAAGGACAGAGAATGAAAAGAAAGGGATATGCGATTCTTCTGTCAATGTCATGGATTTATTGATATAGGCTAAATATGTACCCAACACACTGTTTTACTCTATAATTTTCGATTATTATGGTCCACAATATAAAAAATTTGTAACACAACTATATATATATATATATAATCTATCGATATGAATATAGAGTAACTGGTCAAAGCAAGTATGATCGATCAAACGTTGAGTTGTGATACCCCATCACTCATGTTGGGCCTTTGTTATGAAGTTGATGCTTTGCAAGAACAAGAACAAGAACAAGAACAATCTTGTATGGAGCCTTCGAACCTTAGATTGACAACGTTTTTGATGTTTTCTTCGAAGATTTCTACGAGTACAACGATCTGCATAGACATGGATGAATGAGTATAACTTTCATTTGCAAAAACTCTAGAAAGTTCAAAATATGGTACCTTGGCTTCGAGTTTTTCATTCAATAAAATATTTAAAGACTTCATAATACTCACTGTATGTTCGGAAACTTCATTGAGCCCACAATAATACTTACTCTAAATTTCACAATTTTGAAAAGAAAAAAACTTAAAACTTAAAACTCATGTTCTTTTGTGTATCCATCGGGTGAGTCTTTAATTGTGATTTATTTTTAATCAATGTCTTAATAAATCATTCACATTTCAAAATTTTAAATTTTGCGCATTTTTACTTATGACGCAGAGTCCCTCAAAAAGCGGTTTGTTACTCTAAACAAAAATACTTTTGTGAATTCATGTATCTAGAAATTATAAGTTTATTAGATGTATATTATGAATCTAGCTTAATTTCTAACGATATCAATTAAAACCTTCAAGATAGTTATAATTATATCGATTAAAACTTTAAACTTTCACAAAGTGTATCAATCTACACAGTTCGTTCTTTAAACTCATGTTCGAAAAAATTCACACATGTTCAAACTTATAATTACATCACTAAATTTATGAACTATCAAGGCAGACTTCTAAAACTCTAAACCCGAACATTTAAAAATTGTGCATGTCTAGAATAACTCGATTTTTGAAGTTCAAGAGTTTAATTGATACCATTATAAATTTGACGGGAATCTATCATATGCATGAATTTAGGGAAATAAATTAAAATTTGCCCATATTTATATACACCTTGTGCTGCATTAACTGCAATTTGGAGTCTTTCAATCCAACTCAAGACTTTTGTGCTCGAATCTGTTTCAGAAAAAGGGGAAAAAAAGCATCGTATTATAGTCAACAAGCCATAAATATGCATACATTTTTGAGAAATTTCATAGTCTCAAGACAATATCATAATTACCGGATTGATGGTTGCGTAGTTTGGTTCAAAGCCTCACCACAACAACCAAGAAAAGACATTAATCCCTATCTGGGACCAACAATTGAAACAGAGCCGATTGAATTGTGTGAGAAGTTCTCAGCATTGTTAGGTGGAATTTGTGCTCTGTCTTGAACAATCTCCAAGCACTCAATGAGTTGCAACACCACATCACTCATGTCCGGCCTTCCAGCTGAAGTTGGCAATGTGCATGATAGAGCAAGCTCCACAAATTTCCTTGCAGAACAACTTTCAATAGAGCCTTCTAACCTTGGATCGACAATGTTTTCGATGTTCCCTTCGGAAATCAGAGGCTTAACCCAATCAACTATGTGAGTGTTCACTTCAGAGCTCTTGATTATGGCAGGATGTCCAGTGATCAGCTCAAGCAATATAATTCCAAAGCTGTAAACGTCACTTTTCTTGATGAAGTTTCTGGATAAATGAACCCTGCAACAGAGTTTTGTGTTAGTTCTTTTGCTTCTGTACACAAAGATGCTTCTTTTGCTATAGCACTGCGCAACTAAGGAATTGACAGTTCAGACATTGGATTCTGGTTAAATAGTAAGAAAAGGATTCTGGTTAAATAGTAAGAAAGGGATTCTGGTTAAATAGTAAGAAAAGTAGGAATGTTATAGTCCAAGCCCACCGCTATCAGATATTGTTTTCTTTGGGCTTTCCCTTCTGGACTTCTCCTCAGGATTTTTAAAACACATCTATTAGGGAGAGGTTTCCACACCCTTATAAAAAATGTTTCGTTCTCCTCCTCAACTAATGTGGGATCTCACAATCCACCCCCTTTCGGGGCCCCGCGTCTTCGCTGGCACTCGTGCCCTTCTTTAATTGATGTGGGACCCCCCAATCCATCCCCCTTCAGGTCACAACATCCTAGATGGCACACCGCCTCGTGTCCACTCCCTTTCAAGGCTCAGACTCTTTGCTGGCACATCGCCCGATGTCTAGCTCTGATACCATTTGTAACAGCCTAAGCTCGCTGCTAGCAGATATTGTCCTCTTAGGGATTTCCCTTTCGGGCTTCTCCTCAAAGATTTTAAAACGACTCTACTAGGGAGAGATTTCCATACCCTTCTAAAGAATGTTTCGTTCTCCTCCCCAACCGATGTGGGATCTCACAATTAAGTTTTTGACCTTGTGGTGTTTGAAAAAGTCTGATTGATTTAACATTAGGAAAAATACATTGTTATGGTCTACAAGGGATTGAATCCGTTATTACAGAAAGAGGATAAAGTTTCATATTTCATTTTATTTTGACCAGCTAGCACACTTTATTTTGCCATAATATGACGAATCAAATCCAAAAACTAGAAGCTTATCGATTTTTTTTTTAAAAGTAACTACATAAATATAAACACAAAGCAGATCGATCATTGTTACTTACGTAGGGTCGACGTAACCGAAGGTGCCAGCAGGACATGTGGAGAAATGAGTATCATTTTCATTTGCAAATACTCTGGACAGTCCAAAATCAGATATTTTAGCTTGCATTTTTTCATTCAATAGGATATTAGAAGACTTGATATCTCTGTGAATGATGGGCGGCACGCAACCATTGTGTAAATATTCTAATCCTGCAGTTTGTTTATTTGATGTCAGTTCTCACAATCCAAACAGGGAAGGCAAATAAGATCACGCAATAATAAGTTTTATTGTTTGTTATTTATTTATACCTTGTGCTGCATCAACTGCAATTTGGAGTCTTTCCATCCAACTCAACACCTTTGCGCTTGAATCTGTATCAGCAAAGAGAAAAAGTCATCACAAAGAGTCAAGGACACATACATTTTAGCGAAAATCTTTCTATTAAGCCAAAATCATAACTTACCAGATAGATGATTGCCTAAATTTCCGTTACACATGAATTCATAAATGAGTGCCTTATTCTCAGCTTCATCACAGTAACCAACAAGAGAAACCAGATTTCTATGATGAACAACTGTTAGTATTTGAGCCTGCATTTGCAAATATAGTTTATTCGGAAGTAATTAATTCAGTTCAAGTAAATTTGCACCCAAGAAAAACTAAACCTCAGCTCTGAATTCATTGTAGCCTTGCTGTGATATTGAAGACAGCAACTTGACAGCAACTTGGGTTTTATCACTCAGTACACCCAAGTATACTTTTCCAAATCCTCCTTCCCCAAGAGTTGTCTTAAAGTTATCTGTGATAACCAATATCTCAGAGTAATGAACTTGTTGGTTCTTCGACTTAAGTAACCTTTCTTGGATTGATCTTTTGAGATTCTCTGCAACGAGTAAAATAGACACATTTTGGTTCATTCTACACTTTTGAAGTCATTAGTCATGTAGGAATTCTTTTCGATTTTCGCTATTCACGCCAGTTTCATTGTCATTACTATAAATATGCTGGAATTAGCAGTGTACAGAAACAGAAGGCATGAGATATTTACCTCTTTGTCTTCTCCTTTTGTAGATTACTAGAGTAATTATAAGGATAGGTAGGAACACAGCTATTACGCTGGCGAGAATTACAGGAACCAAGTACTTGTTCCTCTTCTTCTTCTTCTTGTTATCACATTTAAGTGATGTACAAAGATCTGGATTTTCACCCACACTTTTACAAGCAGAAGAAAATTTCAGGTTAAAGCAAATGAATTTTCATTTGACTTTTCAGTTAGTGTTAGTTATTCAATATGAAGACAATAGAATAAGTAGGTGGCAACATGGCAGTAAAGTAAATAGAGAAAATGAGATATAACTTGGAGTAAATTGATAGCTTACCTTAATGTAAGCAATCCAGCTTCAGCCCTTTGCAAGAGAGCCTTGGGAATTAAGCCTGTGAAGCTGTTTCTGGTTAAAGAACTGCGAACACACACACAGAGTAAAAAGATAGACAGCCTTCAATTTTCAACTAAAATTTTAACGTTCTGGGTGTCAAAATCACAACTAAGAGACTTACAGGATTCTTAGGTTAGGCAAATTGACTAAGAATTCCGGTATCTCTCCAGTCAACCCATTATTGGACAAATCCCTATTACAGAACAGGATATTGAGTAAGCATAAGTTAGGACACAAAAACTGCAATATAAAGGGATAGAAAAGGAAATAAGGAAGGAAAATTACAATATTAAAACACATCAAGAGGCTTGATAACTCTCCAAAAAGTAGAGTCATATCAGGTCTTTTTGTAGTTAATTTTGCACTAATACAAACCATTTTCTCATTAATTACTCCATTTGTTCTAATTAGTAAGCATGAAATAGTCTATTGTGGTTCAACATGAAAAGAAAATCAATTAGCATAAATCGAACCTAATTACACATTTAATTGAGTTAATTGGTAAAATTTCAGAACATTTATGCCGAACCATGATGTTGTAACAAATCTGGAAACAACCCTGCTGACAAGGCTACTCCCATAAGAACTATTCTCCAAATTCTGCAAATTTCAAACCCGTCTAGCCTACTGTATTGACAACCACTTTTCTAACAAAATCCTTATCTAAAACAATTGTGCCTCCTTAATATCCTAGCTCATAATATCAATAATATTTTCCTATTAAAGAGAGATACTTACAGAATTTGCAACATGGTTAGATTTGATATGTAAGAAGATATCTCACCTATCAGTCCACTTCCAGATAGGTCCCTGTTCAAAAAATTAACACTTCCTCGTGAATTCATAAGATCCATCCTTCATATAAATAAAGAATTTTAACAGAAGACCTGCACTTACAAGGATATGATTCTTGGAGCAGTTTTGTTACTACAATTTAATCCACTCCAAGCGTATTCCATTGGGACACATGGATCTCCTTGCCAATCCTTCTTTATTCCATAATTTGACCTAATATTGGTAATTGCATCCACTAATTATCCAAAGAAGAAATCAAATTAGTATTCATCGACTTTGAATAAGTGAACTCAGAAAGTGCGTTTAAAGAAAGATACCATCTCCTTGCTCTGTTTCTAACTCTGATATTTCTTTCATCCCATATAATTCAAAAGCATTGATGAGAGGAGGAAGCGTCGAATTCTCAGTTGGAATGAAAGAAAGTAAATGACTACTTGCTGCCTCCAATGGTTGTCGAGACAAAAGGGTCATCGAGGACAAATATTTTGGAATTACAGTTCCTGAATAAAAGTGTGCATTGTGCCAGACATTAAACTCCCTGCTTTGATTGACTTGAGGAATCACAAGTTCAGCAAAGTGCATAAGTACAAAGTATCGAGATGAATCTATTGTATCCCACGAAATCTCCAGAGTCGTGCTTGCATCCTTTGCAGTGGAGGCAGTATTCATGACAATGGATGGAAGATGCAAAGCTTTGCCCCCACTAACATCTACAGTAATATTGGTGCTTACTCGTGTCCAATCCTTAGAGTTAAATGTTGACCAGATGCGGTCATAAACATCCAAAGGGAATCTTCAGAAAGTGAAACCACAAAAACAAAATATTATGTTAGCATCTCTAAATTGTTAAAGTATCCCTCTTTTCATTAACTGTAATATGTATATATATACCTGTAAGTTTGACCATCCGTTGAACCGAAGTCCAATCGATCGAAAACTGATAAGGATGCTGATGGTGTATAATAAGTGATATTGGGCGAAGGTCTAAATTCCAATGCAGAAATAAATGGTACTCCATTTCCAGTATTGATCAGACAGATGTGAACTTCATCTGAGGAGGTTACATGTATAAGTTCTATGAAAACACCCATGCCATTTCCAGTTACGTTTAATGTCTCCCATAAGCTATTCCCAATGTAGATATCAAACATCGGTGGCGAATCCAGACCATCATAATTGCCATACAAGAAACTTGCTCGAATCAAGTATTCGGTGGCCCTTTTAATGCTTATATTGTAACAGTTTCTGATTCCATCAGGGAAGCTTCTCAGCTTCTTCAATTGCATTTCATAGATATCTAAATCTCCATATGCCGAATCTACACTTCGACCAACCCCAGTGTTTATGAAGGATGCATCAGAAACATAGTTAATTTTGGTCGTCTTTTCAGTGTAATTTGTACCCTCTGGTAATCCACAGTCTAAACTAATGAAGCCTGAAAAACAAATAACAACAAAATTAAACTTAAAGTTTCTATATATACTTGAAAGAAGTTGAATAGGTTAATCGCCAATGAAAACAAATGTTTCACCTGACTGATCCTGAGCTCGAACAAGACGTAGAAAAGCCAATGCCAAGCAACTGAGCAGGAAACCAAACAGGGAATGCCCTGATGTTCCCATTATCATCATCCTCTTCCTCTAGGGGCTATCATTGGCTGCATTGATTCACGAGAATTGAGAAAGCAGCCATATCTGCACCTTGAGGAAAATATAGTAAGCTTGTGACAATAATAGAAAGTCGTCACAAGAGGAATTCCCTTTACAACATGGGAGATTAAAGAACACATTACACATGCAAGTTGACCAAGTATAAACAATACAAATTTAAAATTCTTTGAATCAAAACATCGAAAGGAAACTATAGCGCTTTTGTTCATCAATGAGTTTGGGGCTGTTTGAAAAAACCATTAAAGTAATTGTCGTAACAATGTCAAAAGGCATTTCCTAGTTGCAATCTCCTAATTATATATCAAACAAACGTAGAAATGACGATCAATCATGTAGTATTATAGTAGCCAGATTGAATAATTAAAGAGGAGAAGTCCTCCACTTCTAGGGATTTCAAGGAAAAAGACAAACCCTAAGCCGAATAATTTATGGCGAAATTTTTGGGACGGTGTCGGATGAATTCCATTTGAGGCTACTCGATTGCAGAAGAAGGCTACGCTATTGGCATCCATGTTCAACAAATCTTCATCTTCATCGGAGCTTGCCATGTTCGGACTTTCAAACTACTCTGGCCACATGGGGAAGCCGCCGACTTTTTAAATAAATTTGGTCAAACCAAGTAATTTCAAATTTTCCTTTTTTTTTTTTCATCCATTTTAGTTTAAAATTTTTTAATATTTAGATTCTCTATATTTTTAATAATAATTTAAATCATAGCTTAAAATTATGCTTGGATTATATTTGCTCATTAACTCATTTTTATTTATATATGAGGTGACACCCAAGTAAATAAGAGATACATGAATGAACTGATATCATGTTTGAGTTAGTACCTATATCAACTAGAAATTTTGGATAGCTCAAGCATAATAACTCTAAAGTCATGTATGTTTAGTTTGGAGCAAACCTACGTTGACCGGCCTCTTGAGAATTTTCATAGTGAGTAAACATAAAACAGGCTAAAAAGACTCGTATTGGTATGTGGGGAAAGTTTTTACTCTTAGAAGAGAGAAGTAACGTGACCCTGACGTAGGAATGGCATGGAAATACTTGGACTATCAAGTGTCGAATTCGAATCTTGATCTGAATCTTGATATTTTGGGCGTTCATTTGTGAATATAAATCACTAAAGGTATGATTTGTTTGAATTCTACCTGGGACTTAAAATTGAATCAGAGCCAATTGAAGTATAAGAAAAATGTTGATTGTTAAGTGGCGTATGTGCAGGTGGTCTGTTCTGAGCCATTTCTTGACACTCAATCAGTTGTTTCACCACATCGCCCATTTCAGGCCTTTGTGTTGAAGTTGGGTGTGTGCAAGACAAAGCCAGCTCCATAAATTTTCTAGCTGAACAACTCTCTAAGCGGCCTTCTAATCTTTCATCCACAATGCTTTCATGCCTTCCTTCTGAAATCAGAGGCTTTGCCCAATCCACTATGTGGATGTTGTTTTCAGAACTACTGATTATGACAGGCTGCCCTGTGATCAACTCGAATAACACGATCCCGAAACTATAAACATCGCTTTTCTTGGTGAAGTTTCCAGACAAATGGATCCTGTAATAACTCTCTATTTTGAATAAGATGCTTGTTTGAACTTTAAAAAACTCTAGTTGTTTCGAAACGTTGTAAACTTTTAAAAGTTAAGGACGGTAGACGGAACATGAAAATATCAATTGATTGTGATACTTACGTCGGGTCGACATATCCAAAGGTGCCGGCAGGGCATGTGGCCAAATGAGTATCATTTTCATTTGCAAATATCCTGGACAGTCCAAAATCTGATATCTTAGCCTGCATTTTTTCATTCAATAAGATGTTTGAAGTCTTCAAATCTCTGTGAATGATAGGCGGCTTGCAACAATTGTGCAGATATTCCAGCCCTGCAGTTGGTTTACTAGATGTCACAAACCACAAGGGTAAGTAAAAGAAAGAAAGAAAGTATGAACTAATAAGTTTTTGTGTTATCTATATATATACCTTGAGCTGCATCAAGTGCAATTTGGAGTCTTTGCATCCAACTCAAGACCTTTGTTGTTGAATCTGCAAAGAGGTGTAAACAAAATGATCTTATATGGTTGAATTTTTGGGAAAGGAGTCTACGTTGGCTAATTACGGGAAAGATCATGGATTTATAAGGAATATGAGGCCGTTTGGGGTAACCAAAAGCAAAACCATACCATTTGTGAAGGGTCGTGGTTCCTAATATGCTATCAGAGTCACGCCCTTAACTTAAGCATGTCAATAGAATCTTCTAGTGTCGAACAAAGAAGTTGTGAGTTAAAAGCGACTCAAGTGTCGAACAAAGAGTGCTACAAGGGCTCAAGAGAAAGAGTCGAGCCTTGATTAACGGAGGTTGTTCGAGGGTCCCATAGGCTTCAGAAGAGGCTCTATGATGTACTTTGTTCAAATGGAGGATTGTTGGGAGAGGAGTCCCGCATTGGCTAATTAAGAGGAGGAACCCGAGTTTCTAAGTAAGGAATATTATCTCAATTGGTATGAGGCCTTTTGGAGAAACTCAAAGCAAAGCTGTGAGAGCTTATGCTCAAAGTGGACAATATCATACCTTCGTGGAGGGGCGTGATATAGAAACCAGAATATAAAGAGATCACGTTAATTACCAGATAGATTTTTGCGTAGATTTCCATTAGCCATAAATTCATAAATGAGCGCCTTATTCTCAGCCTCATCACAGTAACCAACGAGAGAAACCAGATTTCTATGATGAACAATGGCTAATATTTGAGCCTACAGTAACAAACACAACATATCAGATATTACTTTTAGTACAACCAAATTTTATCTACAGAAAAACACAAACCTCTGCTTTGAACTCATTTGAGCCTTGGCGTGATGATGCAGATAGCAACTTAATGGCCACTTGAATTTTATCACTCAGTACACCCAAATATACTTTTCCAAAACCTCCTTCTCCTATAGCTGTTTTCAAGTTATCTGTTATAGCCAATATCTCAGAGTAACGAACTTGTTGGTTCTTTGAACTAAGCAACCTTTTCTGGATTGATCTTTTGAGCTGCTCTGCAACAAGAAAAACCAGACACGTTTACGAGTGAAATACGCGCTCCACATCACCCTACCTAACCTAGGACGTGACATGCTGACGGTCGACTCCAACTAGCAAAGGAGTTCATTGTCAACCTAACGTGAAACTAAACTAACTTTATAACGCGTCTACTAGGGAGAGGTTTCCACACCCTTATAAGGAATGTTTCGTTCCCCTCTCCAACCAATATGGGGTCTCACAATCCATTCCCTCGGGGGCCTAGCGTCCCTCTTTGGGCTTTCCCTTCAAGGGTTTTAAAATCCGTCTGCTAGGGAGAGATTTCCACACCCTTATAAGGAATGTTTTGCTCTCTTCTCCAACAGATGTAGGGTCTAGGGGACCAGCGTCCTCGATGACGGGCTCTAATACCATTTGCAACAGCCCAAGCCCACTGCTAGTAGATATTGTTCTCTTTGGGCTTTCCCCTCAAGGTTTTTAAAATATATATGCTAGGGAGAGGTTTCCACACTCTTATAAGGAATGCTTCGTTCCCCTCTCCAACCGATGTGGGATCTGACAGTTAAGTTATTGATCAACCTCGGTTAATCTCTCATCATTCAGATAAATTTCATCCATTTTACCCAAGTTGCTTTGTCCACGCTTGAATCAAAGAAGTAACAGAAGAAGCAGAAGAGATGAGAGACTTACCTCTTTGTCTCCTTCTTTTGTAGATTACTAGAGTAACCATTATGATAGATAGGGGCAGAGCTATAAGAAGAAGAAAGTAACTGTTCCTCTTGTTATTCTTCCTCATGTTATCACATTTAAGTGATGTACAAAGATCTGGATTTTCACCAACACTTACACAAGCAGAAGACACTATCAGGTTTAAGAAAATGAATTTTCATTAATACGAGAGTACTAGAATTAGAAGGTAACTTAGAATGAAGTGTAGGGAACCTTAATGCAAGTGATTTAGCTTCAGCCCTTTGCAAGAGAACTTCAGGAACTGAGCCTGTGAGCTTGTTTCTGGTTAAAATCCTGCAAAACACAGTAAAGAAATAGATGAACTTCAATTTTCACTTGGCATTTCATGCTGTGGATGCCAGAATTAAAGCTAAGAAACTTACAGAACTCTTAAATTTGGCATATTTGCTAAGAACTCTGGCAGTTCTCCAGTCAATTCATTGTGGGACAAGTCCCTAAGAGAGAACAAGTTATTAAGTTGAATTCCAATGCCTAAAGCATCACTGACATTCATGCTTCCTAACAGAGAGACACTTACAGTGTTTGCAACCTTGTTAGATTTGGTATGTAAGAAGATATTTCACCTCTCAATCCACTTGCTGATAAATTCCTGTAACACACAAAAATTCACATTTTCTCATGAATTCATATGATCTCATGAACTCATAGAAGGCTTGAACTTACAAGGATATGATTCTTGGATCAGTTGCATTGCTACAACGCAATCCACTCCAAGGGTATTCCATTGGCACACATGGATTTCCTTGCCAATCCCTCTTTATCCCATAACTTAACTTGATATTGGTAATGGCACTTACTAATAATTATCCAAACAAAAATCACATTAGTGTTGATTAACATCCAATAAACACACAAAAGGCATTTAAAGAAGCATACCATCTTCCTGATTTGCTTCTAACTCGATCACGTCTTTCACATAATATATCTCGAGAGCATTGATGATGGGAGGAAGCGTCGCATTCTCGGTCGAAATCAAAGAAAATGCAAGCTCATCTGTTGCATCCAATGGATCTTCATTGGAAACAGTTAGAGTGGTCAAGTAACTTGGAGTTAGGGGTCCATAAAAAAAGTTCCCATTGAGGGTGATATTGAACACTCTACTTTGGTTGGGTTGAAGCTCAAGAACCTCGGAAAAGTGCATAAATACATAATATTGAGACAAATTCCTCGTAGTCCACGAAATATCCTTTAAAATGGAAGCAGTTTTCATCACAATGGATGGCACTTGATAATTGTTCTGCTCAATATTACTTACTGAAAGATTGGTTGTTACTGATTCGTCCCCGTTGTAGTTAAATGACGACCAAATGCGATCGTAAGCATCATAAGGGTATCTTAAGACAAACAAAATAATATGTCAGTATGTCACTTTAGTAGTAAATTTTGGTTTTTTTTTTTTTTTTGCAGAAGTAGTGCTTCAATACCTGTATTCTTGATAATCTTTTGGACCGAAGTCTAATCGAGAATCGAGCGATAAGGATCCCGACACGGTTTGATAAGTGATGTTGAGTAAAGGTCTAAATTCTAAAGATGAAATAATTGGCACTCCATTCCCTGTATTGATCAAACAAATGTGCACATCCTTTGAGGAGGTAATATGTATGAGATCTATGAAATGTTCCATGTGTATGTCAGTGAAGTCTACAGTCTCCCAAAAGCTATTCCCAATGTAGAGATCGAACACCGGTGGAACGTTCAGGCCGTCGTAATTCTCGTACAAGAAACTCGCTCGAATCAAATACTTGATACCCTTAACAATGCTTACATTGTAACAGTTCCTAATTCCTTGAGGGAAGCTTCTGAGCATCTTCATGTGCCTTGGAT